GTCTTTTAATACTGTCTTCCATTCCAGATCATTTCCGAGACCTAGCTCTTTCAGTTTCCTTCGATCTCTCAGAAGGATTCTGCGATGCTCACTGTGTGACCCTGCACACAGCCCTTACACAAAGCACCAGTCACACTCGAGGGTAGAGGACAGCGTTCAGCCCTGGGGCGAAATTCTTAATGGATTTCATTGCAATGGATAACTCCTGGGTCAAGATCTATTGCTTCTGGGCATTTCCGCTTCAGCCAGCTGTGTTCTAGCAAACAAGCAGTCACCACGTCGCCGAGATGTCTGCTCTTCTGAAAGCGTCCTCGTGACAGAGCAGCAGTCCGCCCGCAGAGCGCAGACCTGTTCTCACCTCTCAGCGGTCAGCCTTACTGGCAGCCCTGCTCAGAGCTGGGGGCTGTTCTATCACCTGACCTATTTAGAGCTCTGTGGTTAAGAGGCTCTTCCAGCAGGCCGGCTCACCTCCCTAGCAGCACCAACGACAGCGCTCGCTTTCTGCAGTGACTCCTCCCCCCCACCCCCACCTCGTCTCTCCCGTCCCACCCTGGTCCAGGCGTCGTGGTCCGTCTCTTACAGGACACGTTTCTACCATGGGGACAGACTGAAAGTCCTACGATCGCGGACACCACCTACTGTGGTGGTTCAGTGGGTTTCCAGAAGCTAGCCGATTCAAGATCACTGAACAACAGAGGTTCATGGAAAATGTGTCGGGAGTGAGAGTAAAATGTTCTGATACAACAACGCAATCCAAACTGCCATGATACGTCTCTTAACATCTCATGTGCAAATATTCAGGCCGTTAACGTAGAGCAGTTCAACTGTGGGATGGATCCTGCTTCCTTGTTAGATAGAACATCTACATTTACATGAGCATTTACAGCTGCAGGAATGCAGGCACTGTACCGACCTACGGCGGTGAAGTGAAAGTTGAGTTTTCAGATGAAGCTTTTGAGCTATGTCCCCGTTCTCGTCCCTGGTCTCGAGCTCTGGGTGGGATTGCGGATATGAGCTTTGGAAATGAGTTTTCTCTATAGGGCTGCTGGGCTACGTCTTCACTGAGTTGCGGGGTTCATTCGTCTGGTAAGGATGGGGGTGTACCGGGAACGGCCCACCGGGAAGATCCGGGACATGTTGGTGGGATTATATCTACAGAATATATGATGCCTGTGCATCCCCCAGGAGGAGCTGGAGATTCTTCCTGGAGAAAGGGAAGTCTGGTCTACTCTGTTAACCACCCTCGTCAGGAGTAAGAGGTCTTGCCACCTCTGAGGCAAGAGCAAAAAAGCACCTCTCTCCCATAATTCATCAGTTTTCATTGTCAATCTCTTGGCCCAGACGTCTGTCAATGCGCCGTCCTGCTGGCTCCATGACCGCCCTGGCGGTACATTGAAATCTGTGACGCGGGGTGGGGGCAGTAAATGTCCCCCCCCCCTCTGACTTGCGCACGGCGATAAGATCAGGAGCACAAGGTCGCCGCGTGGGCCTGCCTGAGGGCTTGGGAAGACGTCTTGCTGTTCCTCCGGCAGAGAGCAGAGTCGGCTCGCGGCGAGGTCCGTTGGCCACAACCCC